ACATCTGTTGGAAGGACAACACAGCAGGGTTTAAGCAACACAGAAGGTTCCTGGGATGCGTTGATGACAACTTTCTTCTTCAAGTGATCGAGAAGTTGATGAGGAGAGATGCTATGCTGGACTTTGTTCTTACCAACAATGAGGGGGTGGTGAGGAATGTGAAGCTCAAGGGCAGTCTTGGATGCAGTGACCATGAAATAGTGGAGTTCAAGATCCTTAGGGTAGCAAGGCGGGTGCATAGCAGGCTCACTACCCTGGACTTCAGGAGAGCAGACTTTGACCTTTTCAGGGACCTGCTGAGTAGAATTCCATGGGATAAAGCCCTGGAGGGAAGAGGGGCCCAAGAAAGCTGGTTAATATTCAAGGATCGCCTCCTCCAAGTCCAGGAGTGATGCATCCAAATAAAGAAGTGAGGCAGAAATGTGAGGAGGCCTGCATGGGTGAACAATTTGCTCCTGGACAAACTCAAAGACAAAAAGGAAGCCTACAGAGGGTGCAAGCGAGGACACATGACCTGGGAGCAATACAGGGAAATGGTCTGAGCAGCCCGAGATCACATGGGAAAAGCTAAAGCCCTGACAGAATTATATCTGGACAGGGGCATCAAGATTGACAAGGAAAACTTTTATAGGTGTGTTGGGGATAAAACAAAGACTAGGAAGAATGTGAGCCCTCTCTGGAAGGAAACGGCCAATCCACTCACCCAGGATATGGAGGAGGGTGAGGTATTCAATGATTTCTTTGCCTCAGTCTTCACTAACAAGTGTTCGAGTCACACAGCCCAAGTCACAGAAGGCAGAGGCAGGGAATGGGAGAATGAAAAGCTGCCCAGTGTAGGAGAAGATCAGGTTTGAGACCATCTGAGGAACCTTAAGGTGCACAGGTCCATGGGACCTGATGAGATGCATCCACGGGTCCTGAGAGAACTGGCGGATAAACTTGCCAAGCCACTATTAATCATATTATAGAAGTTGTGGCAGTCTGGTGAAGTTCCCACTGACTGGAAAAGGGGAAATATAACCCCCACTTTTAAAGCAGGAAACAAGGAAGATATGGGGAACTATGGGCCAGTCAGTCTCACCTGATTTCATCTGGCAAGATCATGGAGCAGATTCTCCCAGAAACTATGCTAAGGCACATGGGAAGTGAGGAGGAGATTGGAGACAGCCAACATGGCTTCACCAAATTTGGTGGCCTTCTGTGATGGAGGTTGTCCTGGTGGAAAAGGGAAGAGCAACTGATGTCATCTCCCTGGACTTGTTCAAGGTGTTTGACACTGCCCTGCATGACATCCTTGTCTCTTAAGTTGGAGAGGCATGGACTAGATGGATGGACCACTCAGTGGATAAGGAATTGGCTGGATGGTCGCACTCAAATAGTTGTGGTCAACAGCTCGATGTCCAATTGCAGACCAGTGATGAGTGGTGTCCCTCAAGGGTTAGTATTGGGACTGGCACTGTTTAACATCTTTGTCAGCACCAAGCTGTGTGGTTTGGTCGACACACTGCAGGGAACAGATGCCATCCAAAGAGACCTTGACAGGCTTGAAAGGTGGGTAAACCTCATAAAGTTCAACAAGGCCAAGTGTCAGGTCCTGCACCTGGGTCCAGGCAACTCCAGCACAAATACAGGCTGGGCGAAGAATGGATCTCGAGCAGCCCTGAGGAAAAGGACTTGTGGGTGCTACTGGACAAGAAGTTCAACATGACCTGGCAATGTGCACTTGCAGCCCAGAAGGTTGCATCAAAATCAAGCAGGAGGTGATTCTCTCCCTTTACTCTGCTCTTGTGAGGCCCCACCTGGAGTACTGTGTCCAGTTCTGGGGCCCCCAACATAAGAAGGACATGGACCTACGAGAGTAAGTCTGAAGGAGCGCCACCAGGATGATCAGGGGGCAGGAGCACCTCTCCTATGAGGACAGGCTGAGAGAGTTGGGGCTATTCAGCATGGAGAAGAGAAGGCTCCGGGGAGACCTTCTAGCGGCCTTCCAGTACCTGCAGAGGCCTACGGGAAGGCTGGGGAGGGACTTTTTACAAGGGCAGGTAGGGATAGAACAAGGGGAAATGGCTTTAGACTGGAGGAGGTTAGGTTTAGATTAGATATTAGGAAGAAGTTTTTCACTGTGAGGGTGGTCAGACACTGGAACAGGTTGCCCAGAGAAGTTGTGGATGCCCCCTCCCTGGAAGTGTTCAAGGCCAGGTTGGATGAGGTTTTTTTACCTGTGTCCAAAATATAAGCTGTGTTTTTCCAGAAGTCCTATGTAACTAATGCATTTCAAAATGTACCACTTACTATAACAAGTTCATCTGTTCTCTAAGATGTAACAGATAACACAGTCCTGGTATGAGAATTTCAGCATAAGGAAGAGCAGCCAATGGGGGGATAAGATGTACTGGAGACCTGCTTATACTGAAAAATTATTAAGCTTAGTGCAAAAACGACCCTTATTCATGCACTTTCAGAGACGTCTAAAGACGAATTGTATAGTTTTGTAAAATGTGCTAACACAATTATATGTTTGCTTGCAAGCATGCTTATTATTTGACTTTAGTTTATGTGCCTATTTTTAAACAGTTTTCGTTACAGAGGTATTCTAATTATCCTGTGTCTCTCTTGGATCAATGTTCTTTTAAGAGACATTGTTATATAGGAGGAATATGCTGGAATATCTCAAAGGAGTATGGGCAGTTATTAGTAACACAGGATGACTTTCAAAGTCATTGACAGATACTATCAGACTTAAATTAATTAAAGTGCTAAGTACTGACATTCTTCCTTACCCTTAAGAAAGCATATATTCTGTGTCTTTATCAGTTATTACTAACATTTTCATGCTATCTTTATAGGAACATTAAAATTAAGGATATTGATATTGTAGTGTAATGCACATGCTGCTGGATGTCTGTTGTGTCCTCTTCAGTTTCACAGATCTTCACTATCAGTTTTATAATGAAATTAATAGTATTGCTGGTGTTAGATCTAAGATTGGAACTGTTGCTTTAAGAAATAACTCTCTCAAAAACACACACTTTTGCTTAAGATCTCAAAAAGAACGTACAGCACTGTCAAAATCACTTGACTAGTATGTTTAACCAAAATTGCATGACATACTTGTCACAGCATGTAGGCATAACACACTCAGCATCAGGAGATTCTACAAAAAATTTGTTCATCAGCCTAGCTGCATACAGTACATACAGTAACTGCTTTTCAGAACAACGTCAGGTGGTGAGTAGACTGCATTTTACTGAGAAATCAGCTGAAAGCAAAGAGAGTAACAGTGTGTCATGGTACATTTTAATGCCAGAATTCTAATAGCTGTAGAGCTTAGTGGTTATGAAGTACGCCAGTATCATTAGACCACACGTTTACATCATGTTGCATACCATTTTTTTAAAAGAAGAGGAATGTAGGAAACCATAACTCTTCGAAGAAGGCTCTGCCTTTTTCTTTAACTCGAAATAAAAATGAATTTACTGCTATTTACTTTAAATAGATGTTATGTACCTATGCACCCATCCAGATAAATAGTCATACAGTTTAATGTATAATATGTGAACTTCCAAAATGTTTAACTCTGATTTGTAAATCCAAAGTTTCCACTGTATTAAAACTCTCTATAGGCTGCATGATAAAGTATTCTAATCCCAGAACCTTATAAAGATTATTATCCACAATAAGATCAGACTAACTAGTTGTTACACTGATCACTTTCCTACTCATACACCATATGAGAGATGTTTTTCCAGTTTAAATAACTGATCAGCAGCAATAACTTACTGATGTTCATATTAAGCTTCTTTTATTCTTGCACAAATCTTTAAGAATATTATCTTTACTCCACATGGCCTGATTTAGTTATATCATTTATCATCACTTAATTTCATGGCTAGTTAAAACATAAAGATCTAGAAATGCAGTATCTAAATGTTTATGTAGTCCTGTTAAATAAATCACCTTAAATCTCTGAGAGAGTACAAAAGCATGCCACAGGCTAACTGTGGTTTAGAAATCCAGTATTTATTTTTGGATCCCTTCTGCAGTAAGGAAGACTATAGTGGTACAGGTAAAACAAGTAAGGAAAATGAGAGTAGTGTGTTATTGTTTCAGTTGCCACTTGCTAGTACACCTGTCAAATAAAATATCTTTCATGTGTATATCTGGTTTTGATTTATGTATAGAAAACCTGTAATTTTTTTTTTCCATATCCTTTCGATATTTTTTTGCCACCATCTCTCTTCAAGGTGAGAAAACAAAAAGCGAGTAACTCACAATAACAATTTCTATATTGTCTTCTGTCACTGCCTTTCTGTTGTCTACCCTTTCATCCTTCTCAAACCAAACCAACAGAAGCTTCTGCTTCAAAAGCAAATGGACCTGTCTCTTGCCCAGCCTTCTCTATATCCATATGCCAGGCTGTCAAATGAGGCCAGCTATTCCTCTTTATTTCCTATTGATATGTGAAGTCCACAGGTATTCCATAGTGTATGTCTGAAGTATGCCCAAACTGCAGGGATACACTGTTAGAGTAATGTGAAGGGCTTTAGATATATGACTTCCAATTACCTTAATGGCAGCCATCTGGTTCAACATCAATACATCACCATGAAATTTTACCCTATATTGCAAATAAGTAATGTAGTAAATTACAATAGGCCATCTTATTGGCCAAGAGCTAAGAGCTCTCTTTTGAAAGAGAAAACATTTTGTATTTATTCTAACAAGGCCTCCATAAGAATATTTATTTTGCCTGGAATAAAGACAACAAACAGCAAAAATAAGTAGCATAAACCTCTCTCCTCCAGCCCTTGTTTTATTTTCACTGTAAAAATAATCTTCTTGCCAACAATATGGGTATGTATTTAAATTTGGGGAATCACACAGTGAAGTGTACTGTTTCAGAGAATGCCTGAGATTTGTATCTCAGATTAAAATATTTTTCCCAGCCTTTGTCCAAGAAACATAGCAGGCTGTACCTGCAACAGCAGATAAAAACTCACCTTATTACAAAGTCATGGTTATCAATCTCTTTTCCACATCCACTGTCCAGAAGGATGCCAGAATTTCCAACAACTGCACAGGTTTTAAATCGACGATTCTTCATTGGGGAAACTTCAGGGAGAAGGCTATGCAAATCCTGAGAAACACTGAGGGTGCGACGTCTGTCTAATACATAGTGGATTACATCTCCTGGCTTGAGGTTGCTTTTGACCACTGAGACATCTCTTTCAGCATCCAAGAACTGAAGAATGTTCTTTCTGAGTTGACAGAAAAAAGCACAGATAAAACCCAACACTGCTGGCATGGAGTGCATGGAGTTTTATCTAACAGTAATACAGACTGTTACAGAGCACACAACATAAAGCAGAAGATAGATAGCGTCAGACAGACTATGGTCATTTCCCATGCTCTAGAATAGAATTAGAGCAAAGCTGCTAGGACTAAGTTCTTGGTTACAATATAACACATAAATACTACAGTGATATAGAGCTTAATAACTTCCTACAGACAAAGCTACTGCGAGACCAAGAGAAGATGACTTTCGAAATTAGAAGGTATACTATTCTGGACTATTTGACAAAACTTTGGAATAAACACATATTTGAAAAGACCAGAGAAGTTTGTTTTCATAGAAACATCATATAAACCTAGTTAAATAGATGAGGTACTTATGATTTAAGAAATAAATGCTTCACTATAATCTCATCTCTCACTAATCAGCTTGCTTCAGGAATGGCCATGTTTTCTTACAGTTTCTTTCTACATGTTTTCTTTCTTATTTCATCATAAGAACAACATGTTCAGTTTACTGTAAACTTGCTCCTAATTAACTGAAGTTCAGACAGTTACCCTAATTAACGTTAATAGTCTTTTATATAAATTTTGTACTCTTTTACCATCTTAAAAACATACTGCAAATTAAACTACTGTAGCCTAGGGTCTAGTCAAACTGCTAGCTGAACTCACAGTAACACTTACTAACTCTATTATCACTTTAAATCAGGTTAGTCCCATCCTTTATCTTTCTTCTCTGTGATTGTTTAAACTATTAGCAAGATTCTGACACACATGATCAAGATACAAGGGTTTAACAAGCTACCATGGGTCACGTTAAGTACGGTAATTAAACAGTTGTACACTCCCAGTCCACAGCAAGTAACAGGTGAAGTCTGCTTAAGTATCAGCTAAAGAAGTTAAGTCATGGTAACTGTACCTGCTTATAGGGGTGGGAACATGGATCTAAAAGGTGGCACACTTTCAATATGTAAGTTCAAAAAAGACACTTTTAATAACTATAGCTATGTAATAACTGATACCTGCACTGGCAGTGTTGAGCAGTTTTCCGTACACATTTATCCTTAGTATAAAAAGCTGAGAAGGACTCACGGCCAGAGCTGCAGGACATACTGGTAACTCAGGATTGCAAATGAGCAATGCCTTACAAGCTTGCGTCCACCCCTGCTCTGCAAAGCATGTAGGTTTGTGAAGAGGCATAGAGATCATATCTGAACTTAAGCATCACTTAAGTACAATACACTTAATGAAACAGATGCGTAGTTCTGAGCTGGGGCAGGGTATTCACTACATGTAAATTCAAATAGAAATTTTGCCTCTGCAACTCTTAACAAGACAAGAAGAAAAACAGAAACTTTATATTTTCCACTGCTGTCAGCATGTACAGTGCAATTTAAAACAGAATAGACATCTTATTGATTCAGAAAATGCTGTTTTTATGTAGTAAGTTTTTAGAGCAGAACTTGCTAAGTGCAGATCAAAACAGGAAAAGATAACTAGAGATGCCAGTCTAGCAGTTGCAACACACACTGAGAGACATAAAGGGGAAATAACCCCCTACAAGTGAAAAAGGATGAACTATAGGAACACCATGCTCACCAGCCAGCTCTTGTGTCACTGCCTCAAGAGGGAAGAATATGCCTGAAACTTGCAACAAAATACTCACCCTGGAACTGACCTTAAAAGCCATAGGAGAAGTGAAACATAATGAAAACATTTTTTTCAAGTGTTTCCTTTTATTTCTTAAACTAGGACTAGGAAAAAACATCTTGGGCTGTCTGTTACAGCTGTCATATATGAATGAGGCAGCATCAGAGCAAAACCAGCTTGTGCTGAGGCATATGAGGGGTTCAGAATAATGGAGCAGGATAGACAACATTAAAATTGTGTTTAAAGGTTTCAGAAAAGCCAGACAAGGTAATTCTGTAAAAGGAAGATTAAGACTCCACTTCAGCCTGTAAACTGAATAGAGTTAAAATCCCCATGGGTTTGATAAGCTTCACTCTGTGTGTACTCTGCAGCACATATATAAATTGCTACAAAATGAAACAGAGCAAGAAAGAAGGAATTGCCCAATCTAGCAGTATTAAAAATGATTAAGATTCTTCATTACCTGTGAACAGTGCTACCAGAGATCTCGCTGTAAAGCACAAGATGAATGCATCAAAAGTTACCAACAGTGTCAGCTTCACATGCACTCTGACGTGAGAGGGGGTGACCACAAATGAGTTTCAAAAAACTATTATGTGAATTTACAGAAACCTAGGGCTTTTTTTAAAAAGTCACGTGATGATTAGAAGATTTGCTTTAGTAATTTAAAGCACCCAAACCTGATATCTACAATGAAGGGGCCTCATACTGTTTCTGTTAGCAAACCAAGTAGCAAAATTTGTGCATGAATAGAGTACCTAGTGTATTATTTTAAAACATAAGAGAAAGGCAGTGAAGTTATGCAAACAGTGTCAAAACAGACAGAGCTGAAATTTCCAAAATGTGAAAACAATTTATTTTTCAATAAAATTTTGAGATGGCCAAAGGCACCGAATCTTAGTATCTTCTCATATATTTAAAAATGTTTTTTTATCTGAACTTGTCAGTAGCATATTCAATTAAATGTATGCAGAGGTATTACAGTACACATAAGAATCCTTGTATAAGAGATGTTTAAATATTTTAATTGATTAATCTAACTGTATCCAGATAACTTTTAATACTGAAAGAAATATGATTAAGAATGCAGATATTCATGGTATTGTTTTAAGTTCCTCTGTGCTACTGACTTATCTGTACCTTGGGATAATAGTACTTCCCATTTTCATGTAAGTGCTAAGACAAAATAAACCTACTAAGGGATATGACAAAAACTGAAAGTACATACATGAGTGTCTTGATCAGTCTTGATGCTGGTTAATAATAAGAACTTGTTTAAATCTCTGTTCTGTCCCACAAAGAGCACTGAAAACAGCACAAGTAAACAGACATGACAAAATAATTTAAAATAAGTGCTAATCCACATCCAGCTGCATATGAAGTTCAAAAGCAAGCTTAATTATTGAGGAAGGAAAAAAACAGCATGATTTTTAGTAAACCTTGAAGCAAAGGTGTTCTACAACCTTAAGCTAAAATGTGTAAAGAAACTGTTTTATCTGAGGTGGGCTTCACATTTTGTTTTATTAAAACTGTATCTGGGGTGTGGCAGGTAAGGCTGATGTGGCTCACTCTTATCTGAAGCTATGCAGCTGTTTGCAACATGTTTACATGACACACAAACACATGGTGTCCCAATCTGTGGTTGACCTAGAGTTTTTCTTTGATAACCAGAAACAGATGTTCATAGTATTTAAATACCAACTACAACTCCCAGTTATCTGATAAAGTACATGTAACAGCATTGCCTCTGAACAGCTTTCCAAATGATATAAATATGTATTGCTCTGGGGCAACATGTTGACATTTTTCTAGTTATGTGCATTTTTCTGGTTCTATTTTATACTGTAGTCTTTGTACTACACAACTATTACATAAGGGCGAACTCTCCCTCATCTCAGAACTGTGTGGATTAAGGAAAGAAAACAAATCACTTAAACATTTGACTTTCAGGATTAAGATTAAATTTATAGTTTTAGAACCCAAGGTAATGGACTAAATGAACTCAATAGATATTTTGAAGGAATGATCCATAAACTAAGGGAACGATATTTGTGCATATATGTGTATATAGATAGAAACCTGAGCATGACGTAAATGGTATGGAATAAGGGGTAGATACTGTCCCGGTTTTGCTAGCATAGAGTTAATTTTCTTTTTAGTAATTAGAATAGCTGTATTTTACTTCCAGTGTTTCAGTTCAGACATATTATGAGAAGAACGTTGATAACAGTACTGGTGTTATTAGTTGATGCTGGAGCTCAAGGCCACGGTGTTTGGCTGCTTTACAGCTGCACTAGGACTGGGAGGGGGAAGCGCAGTGAATAGCAAAACCCAAAACTGGCATCTGGATGTGCCAATGAAATATTCCAGATCATATCACGTCATGTCAGTATATTAACCAGGGCTGACCAGAAGAGAGGGTATTCTCTTGGGGATCGCTGGGGATCACGCTTCTGGGGTTTCAGTTCGGGACCGTCTGGGCTCCAGGATCATTAGCTGGCACAGGTCTGGCATTGGTCAGCGGGCGGTGAGCACTGTGTATCACTCATTTGTATAGTCTGTTATCACTGTTGTTATCATTATCATTTTATTTTAATTAGTAAATAGTTTTTATCTCAACCCATGAGTTTCATTGCCCTCTTCCTTCCAATTCTCTCCCCTACTCCCTGGGTGAGGGGGGGGGAGGGTGATAGAGCAGGCTGGGTTTGGCTGCAAGCAAAAGGGTGAATCCACCGAAACCACCACATAGAGATTGTCAAGAACACTGAAATATGACTTCCACTTTTTTTTCTAGGAAAATAATTCCTTTTGAGCAAGGCAGTGCCAGAAATCCTTGGTTTTGGGGCATCTGGACCCCAGCTGTAGGGGGAAGCCCTGAAATGTATCCTCAGGACCCAGGAAGCTGGGCTAGCTCACCAGCAAACACATTATGGAAACAGAGATAGACTGAGTGATTTATCTAGTCCACACTCTGCCCCCACTGAAGATGCGCCTTCACTTACATCACCCGCAGGTCTTGTTTATCTAATGTATTCCTAACAACCTGCTGTGGTGGGGATTCAGCAAACTCCCCATATAATCTTCATTTGGTGGTGGTTTTTTTCTTTTTTTTTTTTTTTTTAAAAAAAAAGACAAACAAAACATACAAAATCCTTTTAATATATAATTACTAAATGTCCAGTGACATCTCACCCCCAAAAGACTCCCATCCCATTGAAATTACTGCATATTTTCATTCACTTCTTTCTATTTCATTTTTTAAATACTCCAAGATTCGGATTTGTTAAAAACCACACCTAACTGCAACTAACCATTTGCAAGGCTCCTGGCATTCACCAGCCCATGGAGGACCACACAAACAAAACTGCTGTGTTACAGGAAAGTTCCTCCTCTGGCTCTGTCTCCATTCTAGCTTTCCTCACACCCTTCAGGGCACCCCACTCTCCCTTAACCAGAAAGGGCACTTAAGTAGCCGAAGCCCATACTAATCCGGCACAAACCTTCTGTGGTCATTCAAAAGGAAAAAAGGCCTTTAAAATAGAATGTGACCCAAATACTGCTTACCATATGAAGGCCAGACATATGTCAGCTCTTCATGAATTTAAGCAAGCTAAAGTCAAAAGAAAGGAGTCAATGGAATTAATCACTGACAGTAAACACTTACTTTTCAGTTGAGGCAAGAGTCTAAGGAGGCAAAAACCCCTTGATGTTTATTATGACTAAACTAGACTAGAGAGAGAGCCTCAGTTTGCATGTCTTAGAGACACAGAACACCTGAAGGAAACAGTGCAACTGGCCACAAAATGTTTCTCCAAAAGCTACAGAGAATTGTACTGTTCCATTGCCAGTTCAGTATTTACTGCTTGCACTCTGGGGACTTACAGCTGTCTCATACTGACTTGAGAGATAAACAGTGATAATAATCTGAACTTTCTAAGGGGGAAGTTGCACCTTTTTTTTAATGATGCTGTTAGCATCTTGCAAGTTCTCACACTTTTCTGACAGGGAATTTCCACTCATCAAGTTCGCTGTTACATTGCAAAGAGATAAATACATCCTCAATACTTTTCTTCTTTTTCCATTTTGCCTTCCTGCAATTCAAAACCTTCATCTGCTCCTTCAAACAAAAATGCCCACATTTAATCAAAAGTAAGTGGAAGAAGACAGTCACACACTGAGATATCAGACTGTAGTTCATTCATACAGGTCACAGATATGTTGAAGGCTTCAGATAGGTTTGTACCATCTCAGACACGTATCTCCTTTCTGAAAGCATGGCCATCAATTCAACTGAAATTTCCTAATTTCCATAACTGGAAAACCTTCACTTTGTTACCGAGAGTAAAAAAAGGACTTAAGTTACAAAATCTTGCAGAAGGTGGATTCTTTCTCTTCTTCATGACTGAAATAATTTAAACAGAAGGGGAGCCAAGCAAGCAGTCTTCTTCCCTTAAGCACAGGAATTACCAATTATTCTTCAAAGAATAATTGTCAGCAATCAGAAAGTAACATCAGCTGGAAAAATTACTCTCCCACTAGAGCAATCCTGACTGTCAAAGTAGCAAATCTGATACAGTCTCAAGGAATAAATACTCTTACCTTCATTTAGTATAGTCAACCTCACACTGCAAGACCACCACTGTTCACATTAACAGTTGCAATAATAGAGTATGAATATTCATCATCTACACAGTGCATGCAATGTACTTTGGAGGGCTGAACAGTTAGTTTAATCATGAGAACACTCTAGGAGATTGCTAGACATTTTTGAAGTTAGCCCTCATAGGTCTGTAAGTGTAAAAATATTTATGGCTAACATGTTTCTTACTGCTGTGACAGAAAAGAAAGTCATATAGCAAACTGCCGGTAAAAGAAGAATGCACATTGTTTAGTCAGCATCAGAGTGGAACACGTGTAACTAAGGGCTGTATGTGGCTTCCTCAAGGGAAAGCATGTCAAACTTCCCTCCCTCACCACTGAGTGCTGTAACTGACTGAATATGCTATGCACGTTAGGAAAGTGGATTTCTGGGAAGAATATGACTGGCTGGTAGCACCGATTCCTTTCATACAGTTGATGTCAAACTTTGGCCCTAAGTCACATTAATTTAAAAACTTTTACTGGTTCAGTGAAAACACCTGCTCTCTGCCCCAGTGTTCGTGATGGTAACTATTTAATGTCAAAACAAGATGTGGTGGTTTGACCCACAGTGGGACCATGCAGTCCTGCATTCACTTCCCAAACCCAGTGATATGGGATGGAAGACACAACAAAGGGGACAAGGGATTAGGAATGAAGGACAAGGAGGGCTCATTCACCAGTTATGGTCACAGGCAAAACAGATTCAACTTGGGGAAGAAAAATCAATTTAATTTGTTGCCATTCATCTAACTAGACATAACAACCACATCTTACAACACCTTCCCACCAACCCCTTCCTTCTTCTCAGTCTCAAATCACTTTGCTACCCATGTCCCTATCTTCCCCCCAACAGGGGTCAGGGAATGGGGGTTTAGTCACTTCACCTCTGCCACTCTTCCCAGCATGGAAGTTCAGGAACAAGATGTTCCAGAGCAAGTTTCCCATGGAGTCACAGACCTCTTCAGGCTGAGCTCCCGGCTCCAGCATGGGGACATCCACAGGCTGCAGACGCACCCCCCACTCTGGGGGTCCACCCCCACACTGGCATTGAGTGACTCTCGGGGGCCCAATTCCAGTCACACTTGCCCTCAGGCTCAGCTTCTCTGCTCCACTGTGGACTCCTCCATGAATTACACATAGGTTTCTGCTCCGCCCTTGAATCCCCAGGGGCTGCAGGGTACTTTGTCTTCTCCTACTCCATCAGGTGAACTGGGTGTGGGTCTCTGTCTTTCCCCTCCTCCTCTTTACTCTGGCAACGAAGCTCTCTCTGTCTGTCTGTCCTTTGTTTAGGCTGATGGTCATCTTTTGTTAGGCCAATGGCCTCTCCTCCAGGTTCACCCCCACCTACTTCTTTTCAGGACAGTCCTTCCCCTCACAAATATGGATTCACAGAGGTGTTTCTCTAGTGCTCATTGGCTCAGCCTGAGCTGGGGGGTCTCTGCCTTGGAGCCAGGGGAGCTTTTCCCTCTCACAAGGTGGCCCTTGCCCCACTACCAAAAAAACAGCCCCCCCCCACCCACACAAACCCAACACACAAGACTACCAGTATGGGCGTCTCAATAACCTCATCTTTATGCTCTCTACTGGACAGAAAATCTTTATTCTGATAAAGTAGAACCTTTACTGCTTAAAACTGTACAAGATACATGTTTTTCTTCACTGTACTACTGAGATAAAAAAAAAAAACCACCACAAAATCACATCATGATGCTTCTTAAGAGCACATTAGTAATTTATAAATTGAGATAATTTTGCCCCCGTACAACAGTATGGAAAAAACTGATTTTGAAAATCTTTATTTTAGTAGATTGAGATGATAAATATGTAGTTAACAGGCTTTAAAAAAATCTAAAGCATTCTCTACTGTTTTGCTTTTGTCTGAATGATGTGTTTCGCTTTTGAAGGGCTAGGAGTGTCCTTTTGTGTCACTTTTGAAACAAGTGAAAAATAAGCATAATTCAAGCTTAATTTTCTCTCTTAATTTTAATCAAAAAGCCATTGAATTTTTTTTTTTTCTGGAGCAGCAAGGTGTACTGGTTTTAAACGGTGCTGAAATCACACTTAAATTTTCAACAAATGATTGAAAAAGAGTTATCTGTCTCTACTTATAGTCACTCAATGCCTTCCAAATCAGTTTACTTCACAAGTAAAACAGTGTGCTATCTTCTCCTAATTGTCAAAACCATAGCATATGATTTGAAATTTAGACAGTATTCTTCTGAAGTTATTCAATATTTCTCCATCTTAAATTGTCAGTTATGTGCATATAAATTTTAAATACTGTTACTGATACAGAAAATCTGCTTATCTTTCCTAGACTACCTTGGAGCAGAACTTAGCAGGGAACAATCATACACATGGTCAAACAGGGTGCTTTTGAACAGATAGTCTTGGAAGAAACTGCATTCCTGAGCTGCAACTCAGCTGTATTTTAGCATGACCAAAACAGGTCTTCACCATTAGGAAACCCAGGTGCCTGAGGAGCAGCTGAGTGCCTGAGGGTCCCTTAGTCTAGGTAGTCAGGGAGTGGAGATGCCACAGAGCACTTGCCAGGCAGCTGAGGCACAGCTACACACTCCAGAGCATTAATTTGCTGCCTACCCTAATTCTGCCACTCTTTTCATCCCTGATGCTGTTCCTCAGCTTTTGCAGCAGGGCTGTGCTACGTTCATCATAGCACAAGACTTCCAGAACATCAATCCTTTATTAAAACTTTGTATGTTTCTGAGCTATCGGCATCTTCTGCATGTTTTAGAATTAGAGACATAAAATGGCAGTCATTAAAAAAACCCCTCAGTTCCTCATTCAGAGAAGCCACGGTTTCATATGTGGAAACACTGCCTGTTTAAGGGTTTTGTAAGCTGTCTGTTAATTAAAAAAACAAAACAAAAACAGTAGAAAGAAACAACACAGAAACCACATTTTAATTAGATCAAATTCCTATTCAAGACGTTATATTTAGAAAATATAGTCTACTCTGCTATGTGATTGCTATTAAAAATAGTTATTTTCTATCATTTTTCAAAGAATGTGACACTCCTAGCCCTTCACACTGCTAACCCATGGTCCATACACTTCTCTCACTGGCCACCTTCCTGATTAACACAGGGAAGATACAATAACAATACAATATGATAAGATGCTTCTGCTTTTGCTTTTCTCAGGCTCCAAGGTGAGTAGACCCACTGTAACTACTAAGATACGTCAGAACTATCACTCTAACTGTGCTGTGTTTTTTCCACCCTCACCAGGAGCTTAAGGCTTTTGTTGGCCCCTTTCACTTAAGGGAAGAAAACTGCATAAGATACAGGTATTGTCAATGCCTGACCTTGTGACTTGGACCAGCCACAGAGAGTGTTGGATTTGCAGCACCTGACATCCTAGCTCTTGACTCCTACATCTAAGTTTTCTGCCTAAGCTCCTTTTGTAGTTAGGAGAGAAAAACTGGTATGTTCTTGGATTGGTATGACTTTAGAGTCTAATGTAATTTAGTTGCATTTAACATTGCACCATAAATATGTATAGTTATAAAACATCTACCTTCAACTGTATATCAAATTACTGTTTTCCAGGTCAGAAGAATTACAGGCAATATGAAATGAAAAGAATTCTAGGTAATATGAAATTAACTGCTTCTTATTTAAGACACTCACCTTATTTCCAGTACCAATGAAGAATTGATTTTCCAACCTTCTACAGCACGCTGGAAGATTGAGGAGCCACCCTTTCGAATTATCTTATCAGAGCTATTGATCATTGATCTACTCAAACTCACATCACCATCTCTGCAATGTTATAGAAAAGACACAATTACTCCAAGGTTAACTCTAGTTTCAAGTAATTTACATCACAAGCACCAATAATATTTCCTTTTATTCACAACAAATAGAATTGATTATCTCCCCTTCAGATTTATTCTGCTTGCCAAAGCAAACAAACTGTACCTGTGAGAAATCTATGGGACATCTATATCTGATACTTGAATATGCAATTTAGGAGACTAAATATGTTTGTTTGTATTTGTAATGAAATAGACATAACAAAAATTACAATAGATTCTGAAATGTGAACCTGGATCAAACTTCAGTATGTCTGTGGGGAAGATTCTGCACTTTTATGTTTCAAATTTCCAGTACTAAACTAAAAACTAAGTGTTAACTTTCAAGTCTTCGCCCAGCAATTGCTCATGTTCTACACGAGCTCCCTTTGCCTCCTACTGACTTTCACACAGGGAATTCTGTAGTTTAACAGCATACAAACACAAGTTTTTCCAAGATTTCCTGAAACTTTTTTATGCCCATGTTCAAACAACCCCAGTTGTCTTACTGTCTTAATCAGTCTTATCATATTCATAATTTTTGTCAAGTTAAAGAACAAAAAAAATTTATTATTTAAAAAAAATTATTAGAAGAATAAAAAATGTGAGGTGTCACAATGTTACCAGTTGCAATGTTATTAGCCAACAGGTTCACACATATGTGACAGAGAAGCTAAAACACTGCAAGCACAACTTAAGATGTTAGGTCTAAAATCTGTTTTTATCTCCGTATGTTTCCATTATCTTCCATCCTGTTTTCATTTAGGTGCCAGAGTAACTGTTCAGCTGCATTCAAACATAGCTGTTAAATATATCAAACTCGGTGGATATAACATTATGCCATGTAGAATGTCTTGTATCTCAGGAGTATACGCAGTAGTAATATACATAAATCTCTTCATGCTCTGAAATTCTGCAAAGAACAATAACTTCACTAAGCTTGCAAACAGAACTTTTGGCCACCAGACATTCAACCAGCAAAATGGAAAAGAGGTGAGACTGTAAGCTTTCTAGGGAATCACTGACTCTCATCTTCCTGTGGCTGTAAGTTCTTAGAACAATTGGATCCTGGTCCTTAGTAAAAGATACAGCAACATTACTACAGTATATTTATATAAACTACTAATATTTGGTAAATTAAATAGCGGACTAAACTCAAACTAACATGCAATGGGACATTAATTAAGCTAAATTAGCAAAACTGGTAACATGCAGTCATTTGCAAACAGTGTTATGATTGCAAAAGCCCCTGTAACCAATAAACTAGTATTACACACTTAATCAAACACACTGATTACTGCCAACCCTCTCCCTCCCTCATCCCCTCTATGCCAACATGCTACAGCACTGACACTGCACTGACTCATAGGTAGGAGTGCCACCTACAGAAAAAACCTACAACTTTAAGCAATCCTGCAGGTACAAGATCTGCATGCAAATTATCCAAATCACGCTAACTTGAGGGCACGGGAGGATGCTGCAGAAGTCCTAAAATTCAATAATCAGAATGCAGTTAATACTTCTTGCTATTTTAAAATGGTTTTTTCCCTAAAAAAAAGAATTCCATAATGGTTGTAAATATATAACTACAAATCCTCTCTGATATAAATGAAAAACTGCTGTAATGTGACAGCAACTCATGGCTTACAGTGTCGAACTTCACTCTGAATTACCTTGCCTTGGTGACCAATCAGAGCAATATAAGAAGACTATCTCTTCTGCTGAAGACAGTTCATTAAATAGAAATAACTGTCTTCAAGCATACTCCATCTCAGTAGAAGATAACACTGTTTAAGAAACACTGCTTTCCACATCATACTTGCATTTGGTTACTTGCTTAAGCTTTAAATGGCTATTACTGCCTAGTTAAAGAAGGACATGCTTTTGTAATTATTGTCCTAGCAAACTTTGCTATGAGAACACAGCTGCTTTCATGGTTTAACACATACTTTGGAAATGCACATAGTCCATTTTGGAACATCTGGGATTTACCTGCAGTGTCACTAATAACCATAAAATGGTCCACCTCATACATTCACAGTTCTGCATTACTCGCACATCTGGAAGTAAAACATCCCACAGAAAATTGACTTTGCTTTCCCATGTGGCCAGTCAAAAATAACCAAATGGCATGAGCACTTCCTTCAGAAGGCAGGCAAGGATAACATCAATAGCGGCAACAGATACTAGTAGCACACTTCAGGTTTTTCCTGCTTCATACAGTAATGGATGGGATGATAGGCTGGGAAAACAAACTATATTCAAATATTCTTAGCCAAAGTGAGTAGCACTATGCTACACAGTAAGTCCCACTGATATCAAAGTATTAGAGAAAACACACGACGACCTGGCAGAAGTACCTTAACAGCTATATTTTGAAGTGTTTTATAGCATCATCAACCACACACAAACAGGCCAGGCCACCCCCTGCTCCTGGGAGGTGCCAGGGCCACTGCTGCTCAGCTGTGCCCAGCTACCTGTGCCCCGCTCCCGCAGTGGGCTACCTGGGCAAGGGCTGCAGCAGAGGGACACACTTTCTGCCTTCAACTCTGGGACCGCGAGGGTGAAGGGGGACTAAGAAGGTTGTAATTGGCCGAGCTTCCTCCAGGCCCATACGAGCACTTACAACCTCTTTATATCTCCTCTTCAAATCAGGGCAAGGGCTTAAGGCAAAGGACGACAATCTCCCTGCCCAGTCGAATAGCACAAGCAAACAGAAAAGTGAGCCCTTTCCCCCTCTTTGCTGATTTCACTATGCCACCACGGAATTTACGCACCCCTCCTGTGAAAACAAAAGAAATTACACCCCTCCAAGGAGACACTGGATTGGTTGAAAACCCAACATCTTCACAGGACAGCTGTAAGTTGCGAGAAAAATGAGAAATACGGACATGCACGAACACAAACACAACGTGTGACAAAGAGAAGCTGAAGTGTGAACAGAAAAATGGCAAGGGACTTTTCGCCTTTTATTTTCAACTGAAGACAGGCAGGAAAGGGGAATATATAACAGAGGGTCCCAGCGAGGGAGCAGAAAGTTTCCAGCGGAGAAGCCTCAGGAGCTAAGGGGGATGGATGTCCCTCACACTAGCAGGGCAAGCGTCCCCGAGGAGCAGCGAAGTTACACACAGCTGCCAGGCAAACTTTAAGGACGGAGGTAGGGGTCACCCGGAGCTGCCCTCGGTCGCGCAGCTCGGCACGCTCGACCGTCAAGTCCTCCCGAAGTAGTAAATGAGGCACAACGCTCTTCGGCGGCCGCTCCACCTCCAGTCACCCTGCC